AAGAGGAACAAAATTAAGGGGGTAGGGAGTGCGGAGGCAAAAAAACATGTTAGGGACTGAATAGGAAAATGAAAAAGGGATTAGGGATTTAATGGGAAGTTGCCCTTAATATTATTTGTCTAAACTTAATTACGAAGCATAATTTTTCGCCAAATAGAATTCCGAAGCATCAGAAGCAGCCACGTAGGCTCAGCGCATTGATAAATGAAAGTTTGACATGTAGAAGTAGTTGAAAGATTGTGACACCAACCACAAAGAATTGACATTTATATTTTGAGATTGGGTGACATTGAAATTGAAAGAAGCTCCTTCCTCTTTCTTTGTGTCAGATCCATGCCGCCATGATCCGCCGCCTGAACACTACTCTCGCCCTCTCTTTCATTTTTCTCCTCATTTCCTTACTTTTATACCATTTTCTCTTCCCCCACCAGCCACTCCCTCCCAACAATCACATAATCCGATTTTCCGAATACAAGAAAGCCCAGTATCTGAGGGCCTATCTGGAGAGCAATGTGAAATCAAACGGCTGGTCGTGGGTTGACAGGCACAACCCCGCGATGAAGTTCCCAACGGACTTTGCCCTTGTGACGATCCAGGAATCCCTAAAGGACTCCCTGATTGAGGAATTTCGGAAACTGGAGCTGGTAAAAGATGTTTCCTTGGATTTGAGCTATCAAAGGGGCTTTCTCCAGGAGAATGGTGGGCAGAAGAGGCCCGGCAAGATATTCACTCGCATGTCATTCAGTGAAGGGGAGACGAATGCTAGCGGTGCGAGGGTTGGCTGGAGGAGCCTGATGATGCAGGTGAGCGTATTCATCACTTGCTCTCTATGTTCTTTTTCTACTTGTCACTTGTTATCTTCCTGCTTGTTTGAGCTAGAGAGCCTGTATTTGTTTATTTACTGGTTTTCTGGATGGTAATAAGTTTGGAGAGAAATCTTGTCAAGCTGCAAACGAGGCTCACAAACATTACTGATCCACATTTATTTATAACAGGCTTTTCCAGTAATTCGATTTCTTTAGTCGATTCAACAAGTGATGGTTTCAATGTAGTGTAGATGGGGAACAACCTATTTACTGATGGATTAGGATGAACTTTTTATTCTATTTGTATCCGAGTCATGGTTCTAGGAGTCATCATTAATCAGTCTTCTTTCTTATGTAGTAATAGTGACAACTTTGCAGGTTGCAACTTCTAGTAGCCAAAACGAATTTAGTATGTAATACTACTTGTATGTCTGTTGAAGGTTATCTCCAATTAAGTTGTTGAATTCTCTTTAGTTAACTGAGTATGAACAAGAATTATATGTCTTTAAGGATAAAATGACAGCTGATATATAACAATATGTGGTTTCCGTATAGAACATTTGTGATTCAATACCATTTGGACCGGACCTTGGTTGTTAAATCAAAGCATCAATAGTGCCTTTTTTGTTTCAAAGAAATTTGATTTGACTGAGTAGCAGAAGTCGTTCATATAATAGTTATAATAGTTTCCATCCACATTTTGTCCGATTTTTCGAATTTCAGACTGCGACTTGTTGTAATTGAGACATTCACTAGAATGATGATAGAGTGAGGTTCTTCCTTTAGGTGCATTCTGATGTAGCGTGCACATTTTGCAAAGTACTAAATGATAAATTTGAAGTTGTGTACCCAGTTTGTGCTGGAAAACAGAGGCACACTAAAAGCTCTAAATCGGTAACATTATTTGAGATAGTTGCTATCTGTTGATTAGGTTATGATAGAGAGCTTTATATAGTATGGAAATTATGTCTCCATGTAATAAGAAGGCTGAAAATGAGAAAGATAGAGTTGCAGCTGAAGAGAAAAGTAGGGTGGGAAAGGTGAGAGAGAGACAAAAACATAATACATATTTTAAGAGCTTGCAAGCACCACATACGAGATCTGCACAACATCCTCTTTCTTAAAGTTGATATGAATTTAGAAGAGTGTTAGATGTGTGACACCTATCAACATGTCACCAAGAACTCCCTTTTTTCAGTTTAGCCAGTGAAATGGCCTCTCTTATAGTTGCACCTCATTGTTGGCTTGATTCTAATCATTTTCCTGGAAGTAAATGGTGTGTTCTAGTGATTAATGGATGTTGAAAATGAAAACATTGGGTGAGTAGTTTTTTCCTTTTTCCTCAAACGGAGTTAAAAATGGTTATGGAACTTCTCTCCCTTTCGTTTAAAGTTGTGCAACATATATGTGGCCTGGTTCGAAGGTAGGTCCTCTTTTTCTTCATTATCTGTGTATCGTCCTGGTAAAGCATGCGGATGGTGTTGATTGAAAGCAGTGTTATCAAATGGCGGCCATGGTGGCGCCATGGTGGTATAGCGTGGCGGATATTTAACAAACCGCCATGCTAAATTTGTGAAGGATGGCATGGCAGCACCATAGGCCGGTGGCAGCCATGTGTGGCGGGATTTTGTCCTGCTGCCATTAATAACATTGATTGAAAGCAGAAACTTTCTTATTGGGATTTATTGACGTGCTTAGGCTGTGATTGCTTTTCCATTCGTTTTCCCTATGCTTTGGTGAATGAATAGTGTTTTTTTCTGGAAAATGTAATGATTTGTGATTGAGAATCTTTTAGGGATATTCATTGTTCATGATTTTTTATTTGGAGGTAATACTATCAAATTCTGTCTTAGCTTATTGAATAAAAAAGGAAATGTTAAACTCATTACCCAAAGTAGGCAGTGTCTATCCACTGCGTATCATAAAATTATATTATGATTAAAACAAAATCAATAAAGATATTGATTAATTAGAGAAATTCCTGAAATTCTTTGTATGTACAGAAGGGAGAGAAAGATATAATATCAGTTGCAAGAAAGAGTAAACTGAGTTAAGTTATGAGATGAAAGGGAAATGTTGATTTCAGAACAAATGATACTTTTTTTCAGGCCATGGGTGTTAAAACAAATTGTAATTTTCATTAGATGGAGTCCTGATATGTCAAAAGATTAAATTTTTTTATTCAGAGACGATCCTTGATTTTTATTTTTCCTTGCAAGCAGTCGAAGCCTTAGTCCATGTGGCTTGACTGCTTTTGTTATTCTGTACAGTATGTGTAATAAGTCGGTTGTATCATAACCTATCACACGATTTCAGATTTACTGATCCGCTTGTATAAACATTTGTTTTTTGCAATTGCCTTATGGTATGTCTCCATCATAGTTCCACTCTGTCGTTACAGAAATCACAAGTTACCTCCTTGTTTGGAGCAGATGCTCTCTGGTCGAAAGGGTATACTGGTGCAAAAGTAAAAATGGCTATTTTTGATACTGGGATCCGCACAAATCATCCACACTTTCGTAATATCAAGGTATCCATTTGCTTAAAGGGAAATCTATCATGAGTTGGTCCCTGTCCTTTGTCCTTTTAATTTGTGGTTATTTGTAATTACGGATGGACAATTATACATTATCAGGAACGCACTAATTGGACCAATGAAGATACGTTAAACGACAATCTTGGACATGGAACATTTGTGGCTGGTGTTATTGCTGGTCAAGATGCAGAGTGTCTTGGCTTTGCTCCAGACACTGAGATCTACGCTTTTCGGGTATTCACTGATGCTCAGGTAATGTTTATTAACCACTGGTCCCTTTATGCCCATACTGGTGTTATAGCATCAGTGATAGTTTAATCTAAATTAGCAACTGTTGAGAGAAATGACTAGTGTGGTAGAGTCAACATATTTCATTGTCAATCATTATCTTTGCAAACTATTACCTATGGAGCAATGATAATTGAGAACATGATCCGTCCAGAAAAAGTTGGGTGAAGAAAGTAGTTGCTAAAATTGTACTGTGGAAAGTTCAAATAAAGGTGAAATGAAATTGTTGGGCAGGAAATGAAGTAAACTTGATTAGGTTATCTCATAAATACATGTAAATTGAGAAAATATCTGAAAATAATGTATGTACTTATCCATGACCCATTCATTGCAATTACGATAGTGAAGTCATGAATCATCATATTAAATAGCATAGTAGAAATTGTACATCTGATAGGTACCTTTTCAAGAAGTAATTACATCATAAAATGAAATGCAAACAGGTAGTCTAACAGAAGGGTTATTTCAAATATGGTGGGAAACTTGCATAATTTGGAAACAAGTTCATAAGTTGATATCTTAACCATAAATTGGATCTCAAACTAATGCCAGGGCAATGGTAATTATAATTGAGCATTCAACCAATTGAAGTTTGGAACCAGGTCCTAGAGACCAACAAGAAAGTTTAACAAATGCCCATGTGTTTACAGTTTTTATATCTAATATTATCTTTAACTCAAAATGAGTGTATGTGTAAGATAACATGCGATAATAACTTGGCTCAGTATGCTGCTATTATAATTCCCACATAGCTATATTTTTTCATTCCACTAGTTAATTAAAAATGGATGATTGATAAACATAACAATTCATTTCGTTGGACACGAGTTGAATACGAGAAACAGGGAATCGTGGAGAACGTCCACTACAATCAGTTTTATTTTCTGTAACAAAAAATAAAAAAAAAATAAAAAATATTAGAACTGTCTTTCCATAACTAGCGAAATAACAGAGGAACCAACTTCACAACTTACTGAAAATAGTCTGAGTTACGGCTTTATATATTATGTAGATGTAGATGCTTATTTGAACAAGGTTGTAGATTTTAGCAGATGTATATTGCAATTGAGAAATATATATTATAATTTCTTAGTAAATGGAAGAATAATTTATCTATCAGTACTTACTATATGGAAACATGCCAAGAGCATCTATATATTACTAAATAGAAGGAATTCTATAAATAGACATATCAAAATTTTCCCTCCCAATATTATTACTTTATTTGGCAATTCTGTATTTCCTATTAAAATTTAAAGCTTTTGGAAAATTATCTAACACTCTATAATTCTTATGGATACCTAAATTGAAATATACATAATTATATTTAAATTACCATAAAATCAATTATAATTAAATTATTATACATTTAGTGTGAATTTTAAAATAATGATAATGTTTAATGGAAAGTTGACGTTTGGAAATAACTTAAAATTTTTTGTGTTCTTATTTCATATATCTATAATCATTAAATTTAAATTTAATAATTGTTAGCCTTCATCAGATTTTTCAAACAAACTCTATATTGTTAATGAGAAGACACTCCATGAAGCTATATTTGTATTCATATAATATTGAAGAAAAAGGTATACAGATAGACTAAAAAATTTATTGTCAAATATTACAAAATAAATAAACATTTTTATAAAACACAATAAGATTGGTTATTTTATCAATTTTTACATATAAGTTAATAATAAATATAATATATATATAATATATGTATATATTTAACACTCATAGTGGCCATATAAAACTTTATTTTTATATTAATTTTTTTTTTAACTTAGTTGTATATCAATATTAGTTGAATCATTTTTGTTTTCTAAATTTTAATAGTGCAATTTTTTTATGGTTTGAGTATACCATGTCAACATTTTTATTGAATGACAACTCTTATTTATTTAAAAAATACTTTCAAAAATAAAAAAAATGAAATTATAAATTCGGCTGAATGTTTTTTTAATATTTTGAAAAATAATTAAACATATTTAAATAAAATAACTAATATAAACTAAAAAGAAAAATTTTAGCTAACAATGTTACATGTAATGATATGTATAAAACTTATAAAACTGATATTTAAATGTAAAATTTTACAATTTTATTGAGGGTGTTTATTAAGTAATATGTTACTATAACGTATTAGTTTATGTTGATTCAGTGTTTGGAATAGAAAATTAAAAAATGACCAAACCAAAAAGATAAAAATATTTTTATAGAGATTACCGATCATATAATGTCGTGTACCATTTATTTTATTTTTTTTTATATCAATGCATTAAAAGTTCGTCAATCCTTATATACGCAAATTGACCTCGCCGTTCAGGTGCATGGGTAAAAGAGGACTAGTAAAGATTTAAGGTGTAACATATTTTTCTTTTTGTTCCTACATCCTAGCCATTTAGCAAACAATCATCTACACATCTTTCCTTTTTGTCCAATTATTTGAATATATTTAGGAAGTTTATGAGAAACTTCTTTTCAGCTCATTGCAGGTTTCATACACTTCATGGTTTCTTGACGCATTCAATTACGCTATTGCAACCAAGATGGACGTGCTGAATTTGAGTATTGGTGGGCCTGATTATCTGGATCTCCCATTTGTTGAGAAGGTGGGGTCATGGCTTTCGAGTGAAATCGTCACTATCTTCTTAATACATTTGATTTCATTTGCAAGCTCTAAACATTCTGCTCTTGCTTACGACTTCTAATTGCCATGTTTAGTGCGTCAATAGTTTTACTTTTCTTGTATACCCCTAGCCCTCCTAGTTAATTGCACTCATTGAAATAAAGCATCACGGAAAATGAGTACAAATGTAATTGTGAATGGGGGTATCCAAGGAAAAATAGAATTTTACTAAGTTTAGTATAACTAAACTGCGTGACAAAACCATCAGTCTACCTGGAATGGAGGGTGTAGTAATTGTGTTAGCACATGTCCAGCTTTTGTTTTATGTTCAATATAGTAAGTAATATATGCAATTAGGAACTATGTTTAGATATCATAACAAGTTTATAATATTCATAGAAAAACTTAAAGCTTAAGAAAAGTATCTGCAACGGAAGTTAAATCAAGACATTAGGCTAAACATAATACCGGTACAGTAGTAATATGAAATAAAAAATTGATTCATACTGAAACCATTTCATGTAAATTGACAAGGATTTTACTTTACGTTTTTTTTTTTTTTTTTTTTT